TCATTTGTTCTTCGTCCCAAGATGGGTACTGTTATGCCACACAACAGGCAGAAATCTACTAACACACAGCATCTCTCTTTGGGGCCTCCAAGGTATCTGTCATCTTACTCAAAAACCCCTATTACCTAATGTATACTATTTCTCATTCTCATCTACTTTTCACATGAGATCAGTTTCATTATCTCTGGATTGCAAATTAAGGCAAGAGGAGAAGATGTATTTTGACTCATAAAAGATCAAGTTGAGGATAATGACAGAGCAGCAACCAGAATCTACTGTTTGGTCTCCTGGGAATTTCCTTTCAGATGGGCAGCTTTTAGCATCACCTACCAAACTCAACTCCTGGTCTCGAGCTTGGAGAGGAGGTTTCCTAAAAAAAGCCTGCAATGATCTCCCATTATGCCCCACAACGGACACCTGAGCTGCTCCAAAGAAATGGAAAAAACTGGGTGAAGCTTGTGGGTGCCACACAGCAATTTGGTGGGCCCAAAGTTAGTCTGTCAATCATTATGTGCAGATAGTGCAGAGCTTGAGCTGGGTAACCCTGCCAGCCCCTGTCAAGCTCAGCCTGGGGCTAGCCCAGGTGGTCCTGAGGTGCAGCTAGCCACCACACATACAGTCCATGTGTGCATAAGCCCTTGGCCTCAGTCTTTGAGGCAGTGACTGCCAGTGACATCTGCCTTCCCAGCTTGCTAGGCTCATGCATCTCGGACATGCCAGTACGCACAGCCAGGTGGGCAGGAGGCTTTTGTTAGCCAAAGTAGTTCATCACACGGGATGTGACTGTGACGTTCTGCAAGCAGTGCCCAGTGAGCACATACGTGAATTCCTCTGTGGTTCTCATTGCTCCCTCGTCGTATGTCCAGGTTTGAGCTAGAATGGAATCCATTCTCAATTCAATGATTTTACTTTTCAGCTCAGTCTCTTCTAAGAGTGCACCTTCTGAAGTCAATGGCATATTTTTGCACAGAGTGCCTGCTTCTAGAAGTGATAAGGCCTGATGTTTGTAGTTACTGCCAAGGATTGATATGCAGACAGGCTCTTGCTTACACTTGCTCCTACAGAAACGAAGATCACTGCTAAATCTTGTGTGCCACATATGAGTGCCCTAAGTAAAAGGGTTGTAAGTAAGTAAAAATTTCGCACTTGTGGAGAGGAGTGGACAGGAGGGGTAACCCGAACCTGACAAAGAATTCCATTCCATGTACGTCATACTCAGTATAAAGCTGAGGGATCACAAAGGTCAAGCCCTCTTCTTCTGTTGCCATCATCCAAGGAGGACTCTGTCCATTCTTCTGCCTTTGATCCCAATCCATGTGTTCCTGAAATCAGCTCTTGGACCAAGTTCCCACCTGCCACAGAGTCCGGTCTGGGACTTCCCCAGTGCCTGCTCTGCAGCATCAGTGGGCTCATGGAAGGAGATTTGATACTGATTTCGTATATATTTCATTATTTTCTTAGTAATACTATTATCTTGTAGATTTAATTGTTACTGTTCATTAAAGATGCTTTAGGTTTTTTCCAACCTGTATGTCTTTCTCTCTTCCCCTCCTTGGAAGGGAGAGGCGTCATTAGAGAGCATCTGTTGTTCACTTAGTAGCCAGCCAAGCCCTAACCCGTGACAGATTTAGTGGCGCCCAAAGTGGAGCATGACCAGGGTTCTGACAGATTGCACAAATAGTTTGCATTCTCAGTTGAGAGAGTATCAGATTTTTTCCTTTGAGAGACTTGAAGGGTTGAAAACTGAGACAGACTGCTCACATCATGTCTTTAATGAACACAGTAGTGTATTGTGCCTTTTACATTGGTTTGTGTTAGAAGAGACCTTCAAGATCATCTAGTTCGGTCATCCTGTCGCAGACAGGGACGCCTCCCACTAGACCAAGTCACTCAAAGCCCCATCCAGCCTGGCCTTGAACACTTCCAGAAAGAAGAATTTCATTCCAAGTGTCGTAATGCTCCCTCACCTGCTGTATGTGTTACGTTGTAGTTTACTTGTTGTTAGTTCTTATTTGCAGTTTACCAGTTCTGGCCACTGGGCGAAAGCCACCGCCTTGCTGCGGTGTTTAACGCTGAGCCAGGCTGGGATTAGTTTGGCCAACGCGTACCCGACTACCTCGGGCGCCACGGAGTGGATCTTGTTACTAATTACACTTTCAATTTTTTCTTGGGCGGGGGGAGGTTAAGCTTCTCGCTTTTATCACAAGCTGACTCCACTAGGTTTTGAGGATTTCTGATGTTATTTTTGCTATCTAAATATCATGATTTTATCAGTGAATTTACTATTGATTCTCCTGAATGTGTGGTGTCAGGTTAAATATGGGTGCAGGTGTGGGTGTTGGCTGCCTTGGCAAGAGGCACTGAGCCACTCAGACCCCCCGAGCCCCCGGTGCCGCTGCTCCAGCTCCTACAAGCACCGCAGCTACGCCACAGCCGGTGATAATGAAGGATGATCCAAAAGAAGGTCCTTCACAAGCAGGGCCATGGCAGGGGAAGGAGTCAGAAGCAGAGGTAACTGTCCTTATCTCTGAAGGAGCTGCAAAAAGTGAGAGGGGACTTGAGCCACTTATCACCTGGTTGCACCAATATTGGGACAATGGTGCCCATACCATAGGCTGTGAGGGCTGGGAAGCCGGGCAGCTGGGGTCTCTGGCCAGAGACGAAGGCATTGACAAGGTTCTTGTGAGAAAGACAAACACCCTCAGTCTTTAGAGGTGACTTTTGCCCACTGTAAAGAGCAGATATCCCTTTAGGGACAATACTGAATGGCACCTGAGAAAATTGTCCGCTATGGAAAAAAGTATGAAATACCTGAGAGAATTACCTGTGCAAGAGGTGATTCATAGCAACTGGCAGGTGATTTTAGACCCTGATGAAATGCCACGCCAGTGACTTATGCACCAACAATATATTTCAAGACATTGTCAGCAGTGATTTGAAGAGGAGGTATCAAGACACCAGCTGTGAGTGAAGTGGCTAACCAAGTACAACTGTGCTGAGCTGGTTGTTCAAGGAGGGTCTCCTCTACACAGGAGATGACCATGTATTGAAGACAGTATCATATCGAGTCTCTATGACTCCCATCCAAAAGCTGATCCATCAGCTGGAAAGCCAAGGATGATCAGCAAGGCTTGCTGACCCTTTAAAGGGTCAAGCCTGAGCGATAACAAGGGTCAAGCCCTCTTCTTCTATGGATGGTGTCTGAGGAGGACTCTCCATTCTTCTGCCTTTGACCCTAGTCTGTGTGTCCCTGAATCCACTTCTTGAACCCAGTTCCCATCTGCTGCTGAGTTCTCTGGGACTTCCCCAGTGCCTGCCCTGCAGCATTAGTGGTGACTTGTCAGGAGAGTTTTGATATTGTTGTTGTTCTTCTTATTATTATTATTAGTAGTAGTAGTAGTAGTATTTCATTTAAACTGTTTTAGTTTTTTTTCCAACCTGTGAGTCTCTCTCCCTTATTCTCTCTCTCTTCCTTTCCTGGGAAGGAAGAGGGGCCAATAAAGAGCATCTGTCATTAGTTTAGTAGCCAGCCCAGCCCCAACCTGTGACATTGTACCAGGTGTAACTTCCATACACAACTGTTTTGCAGCAGTGCTTTAGAAGGGCCTTCTAGTGCCCTTTCAGCCAGTCAGTGCCCTAGACTATATAATGAGCAATTCCTTCTTTGCCACTCAAGTCTGATATTTCACTGGCACTGCTGAACATGTCAAAATCCTCTAAGCAATCAGCTGAACACCCACAAAACCTGTGACTTGATGATATCATGCCTTTTCCTCCTTCAATCTACCTTTGCAATTGTTTCTTACAGAAATGACTTTTTTTTTTATAATCACTTAGCAATGTGGCAAGTATATACTCAGTTATTTTAAACTTCTTTAAGGATAAATCATTATCTTTAGTCAGCCTAATATTGGAGCCTGTGTATCACCTGGTCTGTTATAAGATGCTGAACACCCTTCTGTCATCATGAGGAAAATGTGCTTGGTACAACCTGCCTAGATACATAAATGACCTCAACCACTGTAGTACATGATTCACCGCATCCAAGGAAAGTGGGATGGGATTTTCTTCCCACGATGCAGGTAGAAACAGCAGAGGAACAGAGATACAGGCAAGTAAATTGTCTTAGACAGAATCACACCAAGTTCTTACAAAACTGAGGTTCAGACACTGGTTTCACAGCTCTCAAGCAAGTACCCTGAACAGGGGAGAACTCACAGAACTGGACTCATGATCTTGTATTTCTTAAGATTGTCTTAATTCCATATCACTAAAGCAAATGGTGGTTGGCATGAGGCTTCACGCCATGCCTGTCCTTCCTCTGGCATTCTGATACTGTTTGCTAGACATGATAAGTGTGTGGTTCACCCTAACAAAATCCCTTCCTGGGAATATATGTTGAAGTTAAGTAGTAATATATGGGACTGGAAAAAAACCCAGAATTCTGCCTCAGCCCTAAGTCTGGGGCACTTGAAACAGCTGCCATTGTCTCACTGCCAAAACCAAGATGCCTTATGAGGAAATGAGAATTTGAACATGACTGCAAGTACCAAGACAGCTCTGGGAGATGCAGCAGTTTCTTTAAAGGGATGGTATAGAAATGTCATTTTCCTCAGAGATGTGATCCAATGACCTCCGCCTCTTCAGGAGTGTTCTAGGCTGCCAGTCCAGGGTGATGGCTGTTCTCTTCCTCAGTGGAGTTAGTTGATAAAAAAGCAACTCTTCATTCTTAAAGCCCTTTGTAATTATTAATACTATTTTGAAGAAGGGATCAGCATCTGGAAACAGGAAAGTATAGGATGAAACATGGCCATGCAACTAAATTGACAGTGGCCATCTAGTCTTCGGCAAAGTGAATGGTTCCATGCTGATATTTCAAATTCATAGACTGTCAGAAAAGGTTACTTCTCAAAGTAACAGCTTGAGGAAAGGGCTCACAGTCATTCTCTTGCAGACATTTGGTTGTAAAGAGGCAGTAAAGTCTGATGTGCTTTGCAGTCATGTGTGCTGTCAAGGATTTCTCTATTCACATGGTCAACAGAGATGTGGGAGAAGTAGTCATCAACTCTGGAGGCTTCTGCAGAGAGCTCACCAGCAGCAGACAACTCTGCTGGGTAAGACACATTGGGGGAGCTATTGTGAAAGGGATAATAACAACCTAATCCAACCTCCCTGCCATGGGCGGGGACACCTCTCAACTGGACCAGGTTGCTCAAGGCCTCATCCAACCTGCCCTTGAACATCTCCAGAGAGGGGGCATCCACAGCTTCTCTGGGCAATTTATTCCAGAGTCTTGTCACCCCTGTGGTGAATGATTTCTTCCCAAGATCCAGTCTAAAGCTATTTTCCTTCAATTTAAATGCATTTGCTCTTGTCCTATCGTTCCTATTGTTCCTATCTTGTCCTATTCTGAAGGAACAGAAAACAGCATCATCTATTGGCTGTTACAGATGAAAAATAGAAATTTACAGCATCTATTGGTTGCTCAGTGTCTTACTCCTCCTTATGTGTCTGTGGAACAGAAAGGACTCAATTTCTATTCAAAATGGAGCCTCTCTCTTTCTGAGAGCTTCCTGGTTTAATCCCACATTAACTTTTTATGAGTTCCTGGGCTCTCCCTAGGGACACCTGACTGAAACTAAAGTCTGTGATGTGCATCATTGTGGAAGTGGGGCTCTTGCTGCTGTCTTACTTTCTTGGTCTGCCTTCCCCTCCTGGGAGGATTCAATAATGAACCCAGATTAAGAAAGATGCTTAGTCCTTAATGATTTTCAGGGGAAAGTGTCAAATGTTCTTGCCTGGGATTGAGAACCACATTACTTTGGTGTCAGTAATTAATTTTGCATGCCAAATGCAAACGTATTTGCCCTTTGCGACACTTCCTCATAAAGAAAAAGAGTGTCTGTGTCCTATCTCTTTTATGGCATCCACATGGTTCCAGTTATTTAACTTGTTTTGTTTTCTAATTTAGGTGGAAGTTACTAATCGCAAGATAAGGTAATCTTGTTATATTTCCAACTTATAGATTTTAACTGTATTGGAAGAGTACATGTTTTAGTTGGTGTCCAAACTGAAATGGTCTTACAGCTCATTTCAGACAGAAGCTGTTTCCCAGACAGGGGGTGTTACTTTTTGCTCACATATGTCCTTCCTTCCCAGCATACCCTCTTCATGTGTCTACCCTCATGCGGAGAAACAAACCAGACCCTCTTCTGGGGAAGCTGTGCAGCTCATCTTGTCCAGCCCCAGAGTCACAGCTGGCAGTCAGAACTGATGTCTACTGCTAATTGGAAGCTGTGTAGTTAGAGACTGTGCTTTAATGTGTAGGTCTTTGTTTATGATTTGGGCAAGTTGCTGCATTGCTTTAAGTCGGGATAATTGGGGGGTTGGTTTAATATTTTTATGTGCTGGAGGCTTTTTCCCCAAAAGAATTCCTTACTGAAAATTAAAAACTCAGCAACTGAACTGTATATGCTACCGTTGTCTGCCAGCAAATGCTTGGGCCTCATGTATTGCTCACTGCTGAAGTGATAAGTCATTTTGGGGGAATTCTGTTCAGCATTAACATCTAAAAGAGCCTATTCTAAAATAACCTGTTTTTTCCATTCCTGAGAGCAGGAGGTGTGACGACAGGGGTGCTTCTCTGTCTTAATTTGACAGCTGAAGAGTATGACTTGGCTTTCTTGTTCAATTTTTCACTCCTGCTTGGATAGAGTTTAAAAGGAAGCTGAAAAGGGCTTATTATCAACTACTCACAGCCATAAAATTAGGCACACACACACTTGGCAGTGCAAACACAGGCTGATGAGGTGGTTGGGGGGGAGGGGTTAGAATATCTGCTCTCTTGACTGCCTGCTTGCTTCAGAGAAGTAGGGAAAAGATTGACAGCCATTCTTCAAGTGACTATCATTACTTAAACCTTTTTTCATCACTCTGCTTTATTATGCTGTGCTTTTTTATTTCATATGCTGAATCAGGATGCCAAAGAATTGCTATTCTCCATGAATTTCAGATATATTACTGATGTGCTAACAGGTGAAGAAGCTTATGGTAAGCCATCTTTCCTTCAAAGCTGGACTTTGGTACCCTCCATCTTCCTGATCCTTGAGTTATCAGCTTTGGTGGGAGTAGCTCGCTCCGGAATCCCCCCCCAGCCTGTGAGACTAAGACAGGTAGGAGGGACAAGTGTGGTGATGAAATCTGGAGGGTGAGGAGAAGTTGTTGTTCAATGTATTTTGATACTTGTGCTTGTTTCTCTCCAGAAATACTCCAAAATGGCCTGCCTGGGAAAAAAAAGAAAGGGGTGAGGTTAAGCATATCTGTACCTAATGAAAACCATTATTTTGCGTTTCTTGGAGAATGGGAAAGGCACTGTGTGAGATGAAGCCTGTTGTTTGCTAGCATCTTTTCCTGTGTTCCAGGAGTAAAAAGTCAGACATTTGAGTTGTTCTACATTGATGACTTTTTGCCACATAATTCTTTGTGTTGGGCCAGAACAGCAAATGTTGAAGAGTGGATATCTGGCTTATACAAGATCCTGTGCCTGGTTGGACTACTCAGGCCAGCGCTTAAAACAGGTGTGAATATTCGGTCTTCTCATGGTAAGATTTTAAATGGTATGTGAAGTCGGGAAATTTTAATAGATGATGATCAGTTCTCACTGCTGGCCCCTAAACACTTAGAAGTTTTACTGGACTGAGTACAACTGTGACTTTGTAGATCCATTTTGGAAGGTAAAAGCAGGCTCAATGCCATTTAAGTAATTTTCCCAGTGTTGTAATCAAATTTAAGTTTTAAGGAGCTAATTGCTTAATGAATAACTAATCACTATCTTAATTAAATTAGTTTTTTTATTTATATTGGGATAAGGAATATAAAGCCTTACTTACGCTAAGAAATAACAGATGCAGGCCTTGGCTAGAGCTAGAGCTGGTACAAGTTGCAAAACTGGCAGGGAATGTTTTGTACTTGTCAAAGCCAGATCTATAGCACTGCACCTGCACTCTAATAATACCAGCTTATTTTATTTAGACAGATCAATACACGTGGGCATGACACCCTACCTCCCTACCTCCCTATTTTGTGCCTTATGATCAAATGTGGCCTCACCACAATGACCAACGATTGTATGGAAATATGATATAGGAATATTGATAAGGGTGGAACCAATCATTTTAGAGGTTAAAGTTAATAGCGGGCCTAGTATGCATGTTTATGTCAAAATATGTTACAGATCATGACTTTGCACAAAAAGTGTATAAGTAGGCTGAATTTTTGTCATATATTCAAAGCATTAGGTGATCAGCTCAGTGGGTTGAGTGCAGTGCTGAGAACACCGAGGTCCGGGGTTCGATTCCTGTTTGGTCCCCATGTGTTGCCTGATCTAGTCAAGTGATGGCGTCCCTGGCTTATAGCAGGGAGGTTGGATTAAAATGATCTCTGAGGTCCCTTCCAGCTTAGGCCATTCTATGATTCCCATGCTTCTGCACCACTGCAATAAAGAGCTTCCGGCTTAGCTCTGTGTAGGTAAGTTTTGTTGTTTTTGCAACCTTTCCCTTCTATAATAGCAACACCAGTAAGGCAATGAAACAGTCCTATCTATGACTAAGGATATAGCCAAGGAATAAGAGTATTGAGAACAAGGTATTAAGATAAAAATGGAAGTCTCTTTATATTGGTATATCGCATATAATAGCAAGTTTGCCTGGATGCAGGTGGGTTGGTTTAAGCAAGAAGCTTGTGCACACAGGGATACTAAGGAGAGTGATATAAATTAACCAAAAGTGTGATCATTAAGAGTGTTAATGAAAAAAACCCTAACGTTTATGCTTGGATAGAACAGTGCCCTTAACCTACAGTAACTTCATAGATAAGAAATAGGGATGTCTCCTTCACAGACAAGATGAACCTCAAAAGTTTGATAATTGCTAATTTCTTCTAAACTTCTAGGGTTGCCTTGGCTTTGAGGGATACTCTGAAACTGTCAGCAGCAGAAGGCTCTTCATGAAGCAGCATCCTTATTGCAAGAGAGAGCTGCATATGCTTGGCTTTCTATGAAAGATTGTGAAACCTTTGGACACTATATTGGCGTCATATTTAGTTGATACAGCTAAGATTTATCTTCTGGTAAACATACACTTCAGTATATTTGGAAATAGTGTTGCTGAGTCCCGTGTTCATAGCTGTATTAGAAAAATTTATCGTATGTTGCAGTTAGCTGGGTTGAGGAGTTTGATTCAGCTGGATATTATTCATATATCTGATCTCATTTTCTGATGGTTTTCTGCTACATCCTAGGAAGAAATAAAAAGCTTATTTCTGTTCTGAAAATGTGTAAATTAATATTATTCTAGATGCAGTTTTGTAGAGCTATTTGGAGATGTGTAGTTGATGTAATTTTGCTTGCAGTTACACACATAGGCCTTGAGAGAAGGCTGAACAATGTACTGTAAACTCTTGTATTGAGTGTTATTCTTTTGGTTTTTATGCTTTGAACAGATGGATTAGACCTGATCTAACTCTCCCAGGCCTATGATATGGGCACTGATGACTCTGCTTCTGTACTACCTCAGACATTTTCCCCTTCTACTACTGCATAATGCTGCATTGCGGGAAAATGGTATAGCGATGCTGAAGGCTGATCACAAATGAAGATAATCGTGTTTCTATTGATTTATGAAAAGAACATTGCTGTTTTATTTTCAGGGTAGGATGAAGCCTACTCACAAGGGAAGAGAAATAATAAGAAAGTTTTTTCTGTAAGACAGCAATGCTGAAATTGTAAATTCTAGTTTATGGATTCCAGTTTACTGCTGTATTAATCATTCAGAAGTGATCTTCTTCCAAATATGTATCTTGGTTCAAAGTAAAGGTGGATGAAAAGCTTCAGGATGACATTTGCGGATAGAGTTCTATGCAAGAAATGATTGGCTCAGATAAAATAATGGTGACTGTAACTTTTTTACTGTCATACTATATTATTTTCTATTACAAGCCATTAGATGAAATATCTCTCAATATATACATTTCTTGACAAATATTTTGTTCTTTCTTCTTCAAATCTTGAATAATGATGGCAACAAATATTGATATATATAAAAAACCAGCAGCATTGAACACAACCAAAGTACACGTATTACTAAGAATTTTATCCTGTATTTCTCTGCCAGAAATTCCATTCAGGTCTGTGTGGAAATCCCACTTCTAGGACTGTCCTAGAAGATTTAAAGTGCCTTTTATATCCAGGAAGGCTTCTAAAGGAAAGCCAGTTAATACTTTTTTCACCAATGTTTGGCCAAAATTATACTGGAAAAGAAGCTTTTTAAAATTAAATATTTGAATGCAAAGGAATAATTAGATGGAAGTCACACATTTTGATTTTGAAATGTTACTGTGTTGACAGCTACAGGCTGGATTCTTTACACCATGTGTTCCCTGACATACCACAGCTGCCCGCCTACTCTGGGTGCTACAGCGGGGCAGGGACCTTTCATGGGGTGCCTGTACATTATGAAAAGCCAAACCAGGAACTTTGTGAATATAAGATGGCAAGGACCTGGAGAACCTGCAGGGGAACTGTGGTGTCATTTTCAGATAGTTCACTTTTTGCTTGGAGAAAAATGCTCCTTTGCGTGGGAGAGAACTGCTGCTTGAGAAACGCATCTTATTTAAATTACTGAAATTTTTTTGTCAAGAAACTTTTCTGACGAAAATTTCAGGCAGCCATGTCCATGGTTTAGGGTGCTTTACTCAAGTAGATCCTGCCAAGATACACTCATGCCCACAGAATACTCTGCTCTTCTTCCTGCAGCTCCTGATCTGCTTGGTTAAAACCTAGTCTGGATATTGCTGTAGTCATTGCAACGTAGCGTAATTGTGGCCAAAAGTACTATAGGGAAAAGATGGCAATTCCAGTTTTTAATTTCCTCTCTATTTCCTGAATTTCGACCATTTCATATCAAATTTGCAGCTCTTTTTATGACAGCTTGACATAAAATTAAGTCAATAAAAAAATCCTTTGTTGTTTTTGATTTCTATTTTCCTTATCCCCAGATGCTGGATGCAAACCAACAATGGGAAATAAAGAAAGAGTGGGTCACTAAACTAGCTGAGCTTAAAGCTTCTTGGATTAAGGAGCCAGCTTTTCCAGATGAGGATATGCATTTCCAGATGGGACATGCAACCATTTTTAAGCTTTGAGAGTTATTTTTTTGCTTTAATAATAATACAGTGACTCCAGTGAGTACTGTTTTGTAATTTTGATACTGTTCCCTCAGCATTAAATGTATTAGCTACAGGATCTTGATATGCATTCTGCACCTGTATTCCCTTAAGTTTAAAGAAATAGTTTGTTTAAAAAAAAAAAAGGACTGTAATGCCTGCATGAGGAAGGCAGCCAACATTTAGTATGAAACATGAATGGACTTTTTTAAAAAAACTTTTAGTTTCCAGGGAAATTAGAAATTTGGTTTAGAATTTGTGCTCCCAACATGCTGTACTTAGCAGCACTGTTAAATTCCAGAGGCACAGTACGTGCATTTCTTTAGTGCTGCACACACACTGCTATATATTTCTTCACCTTGTTCACAGAGCAGAGAAAGCAGAAGAAAAAATAATAAAAAAAAATTTATAACGTGTGTTACATTTTCTGTAAAATGAGCAGAAAACAGTTTACTGAATCACCTGTTATTCCATTCTTTATGCTACTGAGTAACTTGGCTGGGAACTAAAAACCAGAAGCAAGTCTTGAACGTTTGTAATTTCCTTGCAGGCCTTAGCACTGCTAGGAATTGATGGGGCAACCAAGAACATGTGAGTATATGTATCAGTGCTTTATGCTTTTTCCTAATTACTACTACTTGTTTAATGCAACTGCTTCATAACCTTTGGAGTTGTTTCCAAATCTTTGCATTTCTCTAGTTAAGAGTTAAGTTAAATACTGCAGATGAAAATTATTTGGTATCTATTTCAGCTGTTCCCTACCAAGGTTGCCTCCCTTCACCTTATCTTCCTGGTTCATTCTTTCCACACATGATTTCTGTGAACAACCTTAAAGTACCTGTTTTTTTAACTATCATTACAAAAGTAATTGCTAAAGCTTCATATTCTCACATCAGTGAGAATTACGAAAGAATGCATCCATGATCGTGGTTGCCCATATGAAAGGTAGAGGAGCAAGGTACAATGAGGATGTCCATGTTGCTCTGTCCAGCACACTGCGACTTCGTGAGACAACTTTGATAACATCTGTGCAGAACAACGTAGGCTGGACAATGTGCCAAAGCTGATACCCCCTGTAGCCCAAGGATAATTATTACAGCTTCCATTTTGCTCTGTGGGTTTGATGCTTAAATGAGTGTTTTGCTCAGAACAGCACCACATGTGTAGACATAGTCTTACCGTGTCTGCAGGAAGGAGTGGCTTTTAGAGTGGAGAGGTTCATAGATCATCTTCTTCTGTCAACTCTATTTGTGCTGCACTAACTCAAATGTAAAGATCAAAATCCCAGAAAATCATGCTGTATAATAAATAAGGAGGTGCCAGTAGACAGGCTGGTACCTTTCAGAACAGCAGCCTCCAACCTAACATTAAATTGTTTTTTATTGCATGCATCTTTTTGCCAAGTCTTAACACTAAATCTACAGAGCCAAACAATGTGAATTAACAAACTCTTAATTCTCTGCAGCAACTGGAGAAAACAGCATCTGCATTAGCATAGTTTCTCTGCTGCCAGTTTCTCGTGCCAGGTCCCACTATGAACATATTTCATTGTGCTTCTCCCTCTCATCTGTTGTCTAACAGCAGATAGAGCACTTCATTTGAGGAGGGAGATGTTTTATAATGAAAATCTATTAGGATGGGTTTGAATTATCCATTAGTATAGCCTTACTTTACAAAGCAAAGGCCAGCTCTGAATATTGGCTTTACCTGCTGGTTTGTATAAGCTTTTTCTTCTTTTCACCGTAACATCTGAGAACCATATAAGCATTTAATGTATTTATTCACAGAATTCCCCTGTGAGTAAGGGGAGTACTATTATCCATACTACAAACCTGGGAGATTAATGTGAAGCCTGAACTGACTGAACAACTTAGCCGAGCTCTAGACAGGAAATCTGTAGCACGGCTAGAAATTAAATCCTGACTCTCATCCAAGTGTATCTTGTCTGCAAGGACATTTCTCATCTCACTAGATAGGTTTCCAGGTGAAGGAATTATTTCTTTCAGCAAAATCACTACTATATTCACTTCAGCTTACTCAGAACTAGAATAGCTGCTCACTCACATAGGCAAGCACATCCCAAAGCTCTCCAGTCCTGAGCATGCTGAAGCGGGGCTAAGATAGCCCAGTCCCCAGTGTACCCCAAGTCCCTGCCTGGGGAAACAGGTGGGTTACAGGAGCAGGTGAGTTCACTCCCCAAGAAACCTAAATCCTAAAAAAAAAAAATTGGGGCAGTCTGTGAGGCAATTGTCTGGCAGAGCTGCCTGATCAGTTTGTGTGAGCATTGCATAACAGTTTCACTACAAACTCAGCTGCCTTTGCATAGGTTAAGCCCCTGTCCTTGCCCTGGAACAGAAGAGCCATTTTCACTTGGCATTTTCACTTTGTTTTCACTTACCTGGTTCAACATCCACTTAAGGAGCAGTAATTTCCAGACTCACTCCAGTACGACTATGCCCTTTGGCACACAGTGATTTTTTTTCAGTGTACCTCAGTCCATTGTCTCAGGTGTAGTGCTCTTAACGTTACAAGTATAAGCTGACTATTTTTAATACTGGTAATATTATAATATTTTAATATTGGCAGCATCCTTGAACTTCATCCAAATTCACATGCGATTGCTCATTTAAATGGAGTCATTAAAATAATTTGGATTTATTGACACACACAGGAGGGACACTGTACAAATGTTTTTATATTAGTTGCCAGCAGTTCTTGTAATATGTTAATCTGGAAGACTTTGGGTCTTAACTTTTTATTTTTTTCCTTACACCATCACAACAGAGTGATATTTAAACAGCTTCAGCAAGCTAAGGCCTTGAGTTATCTCCAAATTGACAGCTGCAGGCTGGGAAGTGTGAATGAAAACTTGTCTGTGCTGCTGATGACTAAAAAGTTCCGGAATAAGGCTCTGCAAAATGCAGCAGCAATGAGACAGTCTTTCTCTGCCCACCTTCCGAACTAGTCAGATTATTTTCTTCAACTGTCGTGCGTACGTTTTCTGGGAATAAGTTTGCATGCATTGCTGTAGGCCTGCATCAACGGGCTTAGAATGTCTTGGTACTGGGTACTGTCTTTCTCTAGTATGAATTGCGGTCTCTGTGAATTGGTCCAGCACTTGGTAGTATTTGATTATACCCCAGTATCTGAAAGCCTTGAAAGCTGGTTAGTTACACCAAACCAACAAGTAGCAATCAACAGTAGTGATCACTCTTTTTTTCCTTAAAAAAGATATTGCTACATGACGGTCAGCGCATGCACTTGATTTGCTACTGTACAAGCCCACCTACCTACTTGTGGGCTACAAAAGGAAATCAGTGTGGGTTAAACTTCAAGCAGGTGACGGTGAACATTTCATGGTTTCGACAAAGGTACTTAAAACGTGGGCTGTGTTCCATATTCAGACATTTCACCGATGCCAGTCACTATGGTGGCAAACTCACCAGACTAATGAACAGACTATTGATTTTGACAGCTGATCAGGAAGGTGTTTGTCTCAAAATTCAAAACCAGTTCTTTCTTTTCTGACTCCTTATCTATCGTGACCAGTTAACTAATGCTCTTCCTGGTATTGCAGCAAGGACAATTTTGCAGCGAATCGTAACAAGTTGGAAATAACGTGGGTTACAAAAGTTAGCCTAAGAGTGGAGAACATAGAGGGAGTTGGTATTTGAGCATAGTGGCAAGAAATTTCTTCGCTATCTCCAATTTCCTTGAATTGCCTTTGGAAAGTGGGGAAATGATAAAAAGAAACTCTTTGAGGCCAAATTGTGAGGCAGAATGAGTGTAGCAGTCAGCAGGACAAATCGCAAGGACTCAGAAGTGCTACGGGTATGCAGAGCTGGTAAGGAACTGACTTCTACTGCCATCAGTATGGCTCTTTAACTCATCAGCTGGGAAGCATGAGGGACAAAAGTCCAGGAACCCTCCCTTCTCTCAGTGGGCCCATGGATTCCCTTCATAGCTTCTGAAAAGGATCTAATAATGTCTCCTTTTGTCTGAAATGCTGCACTGAATGTAGCCTGCAGTTGAACTGGTCATCTCTGCAGCAGTGAAGTCTTCGTATTCTGCAAATCAAAATTTCCTGAGCACCTATTTAAGTCTATATATTCAAATTCTTTGAATATTCATATTGTTGCTTGAAATCATAGAAGTCTCATACCTATTAGCTTAAAATGTGTATCTTCACTTTTATTCACACGATACTCTGCTGTGTTAAGATTGCTTTTTACATCTTTCTGACATTTTGAACAGCCTAAACCTTCCTGAAGGTACAAGCTTCATTTCAATAACTGCTACTGGTATCAAATTGTGCTTATAAAGGGGAACAGTGAAGTTGTAGTTTATTATTCCAGAGCTACATATATAGGTCTATTTAAGCATGCCATGTACATCCTTACACCTGCATGAGAATAGACCATTTGCCATGGTTCATAAAGGTAATACTTTATAAAAAGGTTTTTTTCTAATTTTCCATCTGTTGGGACCAACTCCTCTTTAATTTATTAAAGGAATTAAATGATTCACATTCTATATTCTTCTCTTGGCTGGGTATTCCTGTCCTGATTAACTTCAATGAGACTTCGAATTCCCACTAGTCAAGCTCTGAGGCCACTTTCTCTTTCACATCCTCTCTGGATACAGTTGCTAAAACGCCCTGCAGAGTCCACCTCATCTGAAGCTTTACATGAAGTGATTTCCAGCAAAAGGAACTTAACTTGGTAAGTGTAGGCAGAACTGGTAAGTGAATTTGCAACCTAAATTGTGTTCTTGTACTTTAGAGGACTGTAAATACACTCAGGAACCTTTAATCTACAGAAGTATGCACACAGCAAGTTGCAGACAACCTAGAGCTGGGAGGTGTCGTTAAAGCAGATGACACCTGGAATATCTAACCTAGGTGACTTTAAAAACATAAGACTAGTTTATTAAATTCTTATCATTATCTCAAATTGTAAAGTTTTACAATTATATTTACCAGCTTACTGACTTTAAAAATGAAGCAAAAAATTACTGGGTGTCTCCCCAAGTATGTGTTCAAATACATATTGATATGCTTTGCCTGAGTATTAACCATAGATCTATTCACAACTGAATTCCTGAACAGGAATTTTTTAAGGACTGAAGTTACTGCAGAAGTTGCAAGGACAGCAAGAGATGAAAGCTGAATTCTGATAAGATGTAACGAATAAATTTTAATCCTGCAAATACTATCTTTTCTAACTTTTACTGCTCCAGGCTGCAAAATTAGTCCATATGTTTGTGGGATCTGGCTCTAAGTGATGACAAATCATTACTAATACTATCTGGTAACATCTGTTTAACTACAGCTCTGTTGATTTATATCAAATTCATCATTTATGTAGGGTTGGGGAATAAAAAAACCCAGAGATACAGAGATGTTATGCAGACTGCATTTCAGACAAAGGTCCATTAAGATCCTTTGTCTTCCTGCTTGCTCATCTATGAAGACCATAGGAAGTTTGGTTTTCCTTGCTAATCCTCACCCTCCAAGATCCTAAAGGAAAACAGAATTTATCTTTACTTTCCAGCTCTTATTTCCTACTAGCTATAAATGAACACAATAAAATGAAATATGCACCATCCTTTCCAGAAGAGTTTTCTTTAAAAAAAAAAGCTTTATTAAACTTATACTCTTTAGAACATATTAAAAAACTTCTACAAACTTGAAGGAATCCTCTATAGTACATAAAAGTTCTTATTTTCTGTACTAAATAGAGCACGTAAGCAAGTGCTACTCGCACATAGTAACTGATGAGTAACACAAATGGCCACTGGTGACTGAAACATAGAGAAAACTATCCCACTAACAATTTAAAACTGAGTTAGCACCTGCACAGCACAGCAGAAATCATCTGTTCTGTACGACTACAGTTTAGTGCTCAAGGCAGTACTGGCCTACTAGTATCTGTTTCTCTTTCAATAATAAAGTACGTATCTTTTGAAGCACGTGAACCCCCCATAACTTTAAGCAGAGCAGGCTAAGTAGCTTAGGTACATTTCCACGTTAACAGAAGCTGTTTTATAGCATTAAACAGCCATCTCCATTTTAATAGGTGGATGAGGATTATAATCTTCAATCTGAAAGTCTTCTGCCTTAAAGTCACCAATGTCTTCAACGTTACGAAGAATTCTGAGTTTGGGGAAAGGTCTTGGCTCCCTCTGAAGCTGAAATAAAAGCAACCTTATTGAATAATGCCAATATTTGAGGGCAGAGATTTTGTGCTATAGATTTCATTAATCTCAATTCAGATTACATTACACAGATTTTCCCTCTCCCCAACAAGATTTATACTCAAAAAAATAATAATTATAATATAGTTAGGTGGAATCTACATTAGTATTTTGATAATAGGGAACAGTAGCATATTTTAAAGTGGATTCTGGGATCATCCAAATGCACTGCAAGCCTTTTCTGTTTGCAGACCAGTACTGGTGATTATAGATTTAATTCCTTACAGAGGAAATGAAGTTGGAAATTCTGACACAGATACGCATCAAATGTGCTGTTTGCAACTTGAGCTGAACAGAGGTTAAGGTACTACAATTATTAGGGTAAAGATAAGAAGAAAAGTCACACAAATTAGTATTTGCAAAAGGATATTTTTAATACCAAGGTAACTTTGTATTAGATAAGCACTGGGGAAGATAGAAGGATACAAGAATGCAGAACAGGTACTTACTTGAACTTTTAGAGGTTCCACATGATTCAGATATACGTGAGCATCTCCTAATGTGTGTATGAACTCTCCGGGCTGAAGAGAAAGGAGAACATATGTGGTTTTCAAACAGTCAGGTTTCAAGAAATAGACCATTACAATGCTTCCAGTACTCGGCATCTTACATCTAGTGTGGAATTGCAGCTTCTGTACTGCATTGGATTATCAAGACACCCTTGCAAGATTTGAAGGACACTATTCTCCCAGACTAACGCATGATTAATGAAAAATATAACGAAATTTCCACTAGCTGACCAAAAAACCAAATTACCTCTGAAATCCTGCTAGGAGAACAGCTTTGGTGAATCAATGGAGCACTACTGATCTGCTCACCAAGATGGAAACAGATCAGGCAGTGACATACAGCTTTTCCACTCCACTTCTAGCATGCAGGACTTGCCAAAGCTGGTTGCAAACTAGCTGCCTTAGCCACTACTAAACAGTGTAGTTTGTGGCAGCAAAGGTGTCAGCCACAGGCTAAATCCTAAAGCATTTAACAAGCATCCAGATGGGTTTTGCAAGCTTGCATTTTCTTCGACTGAGCAGGCCCTTTTTATTGGCTATTTTACCAGCCTCCGATACATTACGCTAAAAAGCACAAAGCTGTGTGAGGAAGTATCTAAGATGCAAAAGCTCCTTTATGGATGCAACGTTAAACTTCACTTTTTCTAGTACCTTGGCCTAATTTCTTAAGTATGTCTGCAACTGCTGTAAAGTCCAATTCTTCCCTACTTCCCTATTTAGGTTCCCCTTCATGTTGCTGGTAGCAGGAGGATCATGCACAAATGGCCTTGCTAGTATAATTTTTTTACATGCTCTAAAGAAAATGAGGTTTCACTTGTATAAGACCGTGGTGCATTTAAATTACTCTGCCAAATTACAAAATACAGCTCTAGGGTGACAGCAGTAGCTATTTGAGCACATACTGCCACTCCACATTATCATCTACAGTAGGAAATGAAAAAAATACCCAGCTGAAATTATAGCTGGAAGTTAGGTGGGCAGAATATCCAAATTGGAATCTTGACAGCAACTGCTGATCTACTGTTTGCTTCCAATAAAAAACACATGCTACAAAATTTAATCACTTCTGTATTATTATCCTGTAAGGACAAGTGCTCAGTCCAGATCCCTAAGAAGTAGGCTAGTGGAGTGGGTCAGTTTTGGCATGTTCAGCTTAAAAGACCTTGAGGAGCTTCTGCCTGTTTGGAATGAATTTAAGAATTCTTACATTTTTACATTCTTGATCCTAACAGCACTAACCACAGACAATTTACATGAAATACATATGTATTTGAATATACATACGTTTTTGAACAGTATGTTAATTCCGGGGGGGGGGGTTGACATGAGAAGTCTTTTCTTTTAGCCCCTCACTTCTCAGACGAGATTAAGTAAAATGATTAAACAGCCTACCTTTAGCCCGGTGACATGGGCAATCATGTATGTGAGCAGTGAATAGCTGGCAATATTGAAAGGCACTCCTAGTCCCATATCTCCAGACCTCTGATAGAGTTGGCAAGACAGTTCACCATTCAGAACATAGAACTGGCAAAGGGCATGGCATGGAGGCAAGGCCATCAGAGAAATATCTAGGAATTGTAGTACAAGAAGGGGTGGGAGGGAAATCATAACAGCGTTAGTATGTTGTAAATGTAGAAAATGTAAAAGCTGAACAAGCATTTAATGAGATACAGTAGAGTAAAAATCCAACTGCACTACCATTCTGTTGCTTTTTCTCTTGTTAAAAAGCACCTGCTGCCCAAGCAGTAAGTCTGGATCATGACAAGCTGTCTCCTGGGCTATATGACCAGAAAAGTCATAAACAGATATTCCACAGAACAGATTTATGCCATAATGCTGCACAGCAGTTTAGTTTTACTCACCTCGGTGAGACTGTTGATTGCCCTAAAGGAGGGCGCTAAGAGTAAAATTAAACATGTACCCAAAAGCGACTTCCAACTGCTTCACCTTACTCTCTTGCCATTGCAACATGCCTTTACTGCTTGTTGAGATATAAAAGTAATGATCAATAAAAAATAATGATCAGAAAACAAAAGATCTTTTGAGTCTTTATCTATGCTTTGAAGTGCAGACAGTGCAATTACAGCTTGATAAGGAAAATTTTAACTGGGTGTCTCCTGATATGAGAACGTTTAACCTTAAAAATAACACGAAGAGCAGGCGGCATCCCCTTTCAGAGACACAAGTGGAAAACACTGCGTGATTTTTTTCTGCACTTTGCTGCTGCTGCTGCTGCTGCAGCTAAATATTCTCCGCTACTACCTCTTATTTAGAAGTAGCCCTACAAAGTGAATGGGTATCTAAACAAGCTATGGTCAAGGAAATTATGACAACATAAGTAACAGTTTGTTCTCTAGTTTTAAGGTTTTGGTTAAGTTTACAGTTTATTATATGGCTAAAACACAGATATGCTGCTTTGGTTTTTTTAACCTTTTTGGTTTTTTAACCTTTTTAAAACAGTACTGCTCTCTTTGAACGGACAATGTATGTCAAAGACACTAGTAGCCAGGTATATCCTTCACTTTAAACTGGGGAGAAAAACCTTGAAGTAACAGTTCAAAATTTTTGAGGTCTGAACATAAGAATTAAGTAGGAAGAGAATCACGCTTAAAACCCCTGGCGATTTTTAGTGTATTCCCAGTGGTTTTATAAAGAATTAGCAAAGATACCACGCTGAAGTGACGGCTGACACAGGACCAGAACAGTTTAGCATAGAGCAAGGTAATGTGCAACTGCATTTGCGTAAAAGTCTGCTGTACAATACCTTTGGGATTCCAAGCACACATAATGATTCTTCTGTCATCTGGATTGGTTTTGATCGTTTCAATCACTTTTTGCAACTGATCAACACCTTGGTTGGAGTAATCTGAAGAAAGATACCAAATAAGATCAAAGCCAGATAGATTGAAGTCATTATATTCTTTTAAGGCTCAGCCCACATCCCACTGAAGAGCAATACCCAAGTGACAACATCTGAAGATTTTAATTGTAACTTTGAAAGTGACTAAATTTATCAGTTGGCACCTCTAGAAGTAGGCTATTCTTGGTCTTACTTAGCCTGCTCTAAGGCTTGTGAAATTTTCGTGATGGTATTTTTGTATGTCCCCCTATCTGTTTTGTGTGCTTTGTGTCCTTTAGTACCCACGGAAACAGGATCATTCCTATTTAGAACACTTTATTCTAAGCCTCAACAATTAGAGACTTTTAAGATCAAATAAGAAGTCTGCATAAACTCTACATCCCAGGAAACAAAAGCTGCAATACAAAAAAATTAATTGGACAAAGCACTTCACTTAACCATTTACGACGACTTGTTACCTAAATAGGACAAAAGCTGTACTGGAATGGGAAAGATATTACTCCGTAGTTATAAGTGGTAGTTGAAGTAATTTGCTCATTGTATTTCTGGATTAGGATGCCCTTCTAGATGAACGCTGCAGTGTTCCTTCTTAAACAAACAAACAACTAAAATGTTCAGATGCACTCTACAGTGTTCCAAATAAATAATAAAATAAAATAACATAAAAGAAAATAACGTAACATAACATAACATAACATAACATAACATAACATAAAATGTCCAGACGGGGTGGTGGCATTCTTTGCATTCACTAATGCCATCTAGCACCCACAAAGTCACGTCTGAAAACAAATTTTACATAGCATTCAGTGCCAGAAGGTAACTTTAATCATGTATAGCACAGGATATTGCATTTCACTCAATGACGTTCACAGGCTGATTTTTAGGCTCAATACCAGTTATATAAGAATTAAGTGAATGTTAGAATGGATTCCAGAATAAAAGAGTCATTAGTTCTTACTCATTGTTCTGACTCATGCCAGTGAATCACCGTGGCTGCTAACTAATTTTTTTCTAATAACACTGAAGCAAAGCAGCACTAAATTATGGTTACAGGGAGACCCAAGCTGGCAAACAAAGTAATGCTACATAATTAGCAACTCAGGGAATTCTTCTGCCGGAAGCCTTGTCAAATAGCTGTGTTAGTTCCTAAACCTTATTACCTGTCCATTAGTAATGCAACTTATGGGAATCTATTAGTAATGAAACCTATGGGAATTTGTCTTATTCACTCTTACAAGCTGTGTAACGCCTCAGAACTTCCAAGTTCAAGAATTCTGAAACATTTTACTAAGTTTTTACAAGCGCCAGTTCACAATTTGCATCATTTGTGCTAGCATAAAACTGTATTCTGCCAGCAGTCAACGTGCCAATACTAATATCTGTAACTGATGTGAACATTGAGACTGTATTGACAAAAAATAAGATGAAAGAAGATAAATAACCATGTTGCTAACCTGACTTAAAAGTGACACTAAGCAGACAAGTACCTTTTTCTGACTCTTTTTTTAACGGCAGTCCACACTGTGAATGGTCCCTTTAACAACAGTCCAATTACACTCAGACTTCCGGAAGGGAACAGCTGTCTCACTAAGCAATGAAGATTGTGTTTGTGTGTGATTACCTGTGTGCATATCTTTGTATTCTGCTCCAAAATGCCTCCACTGGAAACCATAAACTGGTCCCAAATCCCCTTCTTCTCTGGTGCTGAAACCCTGCTTATCCAGAAACTCACGTGATCCATTAGCATCCCAAATCTTCACGCCTTTTGCAGAGAGCTCTTTGGCATTTGTCGAACCCTGCAAGACACAAAAAGAAGTCCACTTTTCTCCACTTATAAAGAATGAACATCCTGATTAATGTACTGGGATGAAGTTCTGGCACGTGGGCAGAATAGAACTTATGAGCAACATACAAGGATAGTTTGAAGTGCCATGCTGATGCTACTTAACTCAGCTCTGCAACAAACAAAGATTACAGCCTCAAGGTAATTTCATATGCACATTTGCAGAGAACAAGACTTTACAGATAGATGAAAATAGACAAACAAAAAATTTACAGTTGAGGCATTGTCTTTGCCAAGCCACCTATAACGAGCTTAAGGTCTTCAAAATACTTGTGTTAATATTATAAAAAACGACAAATGTGACAAAATGACCCAGAGAAATTTCACCGAGTTCTGCAACATGGTCAAAACAACATAGCGCTCTGTTTTGGAGAGTGTATGGTCTTTTATATTTGAAAAAAAGGTACTTTTAAAAAAGGAATGTGTATTTGAGTCCTGCTATTTAGCAAGTGGTTAGGTAGACTTTCCCATACCTGCACAATGTCACAACATACAAAAGAACACTCACATCATAATGTATTATTTATAGTTGAATTTTAATACTCTCACTACAGCTATTAGCTCTATCAGATCTCAGGTTTGCTACTAAAAGCCTAGTGTTTACATCTGTCTTGCTGCACATGTGGATCCACGCAACTTGTTTCTGTTCAAATCAACAGAAGCTATCTCAATATTAAAAAGCAGATCATTAAATTGCCTAAATCTACTTCATGTTATTATTTCTTATTTGAACACTAATAAAATAGACGGTGCTAGGCTTTACAACTGTGTGGTAGTTTTGCTAACTGGCACGGGGTGGAGGGTGTCCTGCAGAAAAAGGGACACAGGCACCAACAGGATAAGGTTACTCTACTGTCTATTTTAAAGTATTACAAGAATAAGGCAATGCAAGCTTATTATACTCTAGTTTTAAGCAGCAAGGAGAACAAGCAGGGTAATGCCCCTAATCAGTACTATATACAGTTAGCGATAGTTATTAAGAAAGATACATCATCAATTGCCCTAATATCATCATCCAGATCCGCAGTCGCTGGGGAGCCCCTGTTGCAGAGAGGATTCTGAAGAACCGTCCCGGCAGTTGGGAAGCCCTGTGCAGTGCGTCCACTCGTAGGTGAGATCCTCAAAGTTGCTGCAAGAGGGTCCAGCTTTTATACTATTAAATAAACAACCTCACATAACTTTGAACGCGGGAACATCTGGTGTTGTTCACTCCGTTGGATTCCTCCCACAGCTTGGCCAGGGCTAAAGGAAGAATATAAGGGAGTCTCTCTGTCTACTTTGATCCTTAATCACGTATTTCTCACCCAAGACAGGCCTCTGGTCTCACAGTCTTGTAACATACTCCTAACAAAGCAAGAGGCAGCTAGTTTTCCCAGCCTTGCGCCTGGCCTTTAGCTAAAGAAAGATGACTCTGCTGGTTTCCACCGCACGTTTAGTCTTACAGCAAAGCTTTTACAGATTGGCATTGGAATATATATATATATATACATATGCTAAAATAGATTATCAATACATTACATATGTGATTAATACTATATAGTCTGGGGTTGTGAGGTTCATCTATAGGTCAACTTCAGTGCAGGGCCTGTGATTTAGGCCCTAAAACTACAGTGCTATAGTCAAATGAGCAAAAGCTCTCATGATTTCAGACTATTTCCCTTAAAAAGAAACATAGGAAAAACTCTTCTAATTGGTAACAATGCAATAGTCTCGATTAAAATGCACACAGTTCTGTCTTGAAAATAATGGCCTTGATGTGTAGTGGAACAGCAGGTGTATAAGGTGGCTGCACTTCATTTGGTCTCCCATACAAACAGAAGCATCTGCAGTCACCCCAAACTCCTTACTCCACTCCACACTAGTTCATTCTGTTAATACCACCCTCAGGCACACCACGCACAGAGACATCCAAACGCCAAACCTTGATGAACCAGAGCAGCTCCTCTAGCACTCCTTTCCAGAACACCTTCTTCGTAGTTAGCAGTGGAAACTGACCTGCAAAAGAGCTTCAGAGTGTCAGAGGTGACCGGCGACTTGGCAGTGTGAACGGACCTGGCTTTCCTCCACGTAGAGGATAATGCCACTATCTGACATTCAGAGGTTTGAATAATAAATAAGGAGTTGGAAAAGAATCAAAGAAGACAAGAACCTGACTTTTATTTGCCTGGACAGTGGGGGAAGATGAATTATCTGTGGGGACCTGGATGAACTTCGCCATGAGGACTACACGGTGCAGTTTATGGATGGAGCCCTCAACACAAGAAGGTGATGGACCTGCTGAAGTGGGTCCAGAGAGCCAAGGAAATGATCAAAGGGCCTGAGCACCTCTCCTGAGGCTGAGAGAGTTGGGATTATCGAGCCTGGAGAAGCGAGGGCCCCAGGGAGACGGCCATCCAGTACCCGAAGGCAGCCTGTGGGAAGGCTGGAGAGGCACTGCTTACAGGGACATGTAGCAACAGCGCAAGAGGCAGTGGTTTAAACTAAAGCAGGGTAGACTTAGATTAGATGTTAAGAAGTTCTATTTCACAACCGTCCCTCTTACTACACTTGGGCAATAGGAAGGACCAGGCCAGGCTACCCCAAGCCCTAACGCCTTCTTT